TCCGGCCCCCGAGGGTGCGGAGCAGCACCGCGGGCGCCGGGGATGGGGGCGCCTGGGTGCCCTGCCGCCGCTCTCCCACCCCGCTTCGGCTAGCAAATAAAAAAAGCGTTACTGCCAAAATACGTAAAGGGATTTCTAAATCTGTTCTGAAACCAGCCTGAATGCCTTTCTCCAGTCAGGTATCAAGGAAATCGCCACATGGCCACACCAGGACAAAAATCCCCCGTGAAGACACTCAGAACATGAAATGTTCACTAGAATATGAAATGTTCGAGTGAAATATGAGGCTAAACATCCACTGCCCAGATTTGGGGTAGAAAACCAGCTTTGATGATTGCCATTTGTGGCACTGGCTAGGGGCCATGCTGGAGTATTTTGCTTCAGACTATGGTGGTAGAAAGGCACCCATCCCCTCGCCACCAAATACGGGCAGTAGTTTTCAGCTCATGCTAGACAGATGTTCCTTTCCAAATACAGCTCTGAAGGCCATTAAATAAAACAATGATGGATTATAAAACTAATCCACCAGACGCAAAGCTGGTTTTGAAGACACACGGCTGCCCTTGACTGCAACCTATGCATCATCTGCACATCATATGCCTGCGTGGGGCTTGAGCTCACCCAGAGCAGAAGCATCCCCAGCACACCCCGGGCAAGGGCGCGACCTGGCACTGCTGCTGGCATGCCTCTCAGGGTTATCAGCGCTGCAGGGGAACAGGGGCAGCCTCCACGGGGCTGTCAGGTCAGCGTACAGGCAGCAGTGAAGTGTACGTGACTTTCCTGTCAAAGCTATGAAGGAACAGGCCAGCACCTGGCAGCCTTTCCCTCCAGAGCTGCTCTCGCACTCAAAACTACTTTCTGCTTTCTTCTGCCAGGGGATGTGCAAAAGAGGAGGCGATTGCTTGGGGAACCTCGCGAACCCTCTTGCTCAAGCACGTGAAAATCTAGACACAGCATTATTAAAGAGCATTAGAAAATGCTGAGACATCTCAGCCAACTCAATGCACCAACAGGCAGCTTAACACCCAAAGTACAAAGAGACATTTCCTTCATCACCTGATCCAGCTGAAAGACCAGGACCGCTTCAGCAAGTTAGCCTTAGTCTATTGTAAGTGGGGTTCAAAAGGCATTTATGTATGTAGTTAGGAGCAACAGATCTACTGACAAAAGGTCTAGTAAGATAAAAGCTATACTAGAAAAATCTTTCTTCTGCAGTTTTGTCAGTGGTTGTTCCTGGTTTATTAAACCCTATTTTTTAACTCTTATTTTGTTTCCTCCGATCTACTTTATTTTGCAACATTTAAGCTAAAATGAACAACATCAGGAAAAAATAACCAGTTGGGTACAAAGAATAAACGTTTAACAGAGGATTCACATGCTTTAGATGTGTGTGTGTACACACGTGCACAAAAGCATCACTTATTTTCAAGGCTGCATTACATCACATTAGCAGTAAAATACTATTTACTCCTGCTGTACATGCTTCCCTTGCATCATTTATCAAGAATCTACTACAAGCCTGGTGAATGATAGAAGGTAGATTAATCATGGTTCTAGATAATCTATTTTCACTCAAACGTTCCAACTTCTTAACACTGGTTTAAAGCGCTAGTGTCCACTGTCTGAGCCATCCACACCATGAAAATGAATAGCACACTTAAACAAAAAATATTTTTGCTCTCAAATAAGAGCAAGTGGGAAGCCATATGCTTTGAAAAAATAAAACCAGCAGTTCCTTCCCTATTGCTGATTTGCAGATGGTTCATGGTAATGGAGGATATTGGATAAACAGATTTGGGCTGTGCTAGGCACAGGACTGTAGTTAAAAGAGGGGAAGTGAAAGTGCACAGCATAGGAAGTCTTACTGGACAGATATCAAAGATAACATTACAGTAACAAGATCCATAAAGTGCCTCTAACATCTGGATGACACAATCATCTTAAGGACTCTAGATTTACTAGGTTTACTGCCTAGTTGCCAAAATTAAGAAAATCAGCTGTGGGGGGAACTCTTACTGTCAGTGCCATCCCCTTCCCCTCTAGCATCCTTGCCAATTCTGAGGGGTTTGCCTGTCTTTCAATTAAATAACCATTTTAAATTTAAAGACTGAAGTGTACTGCACAGAGTACTCAGTCTCAATGCAGTCAAAAGCAAAAGGTAATGTAAAGGTGGCTACTGGTAGAGGCTGAAGAAAGGAAGGCTTAGAAAAAACACGAGATTTTTTTTTCCCTTTCATTTCTCATGGTTGAAAACAACAGCAATTGAGTTTGCCTGTAGATGTTACTGATATTTTTAACTGGAGCAGGGCAGACAAGATTTGTGTGTCAAGACCACCTCTTTAGAAGCTGCTGATGGGAACATTCTGCTCAACAGGATCCAAAAAAACCCTTTAGTCACAGGAGCTTTGCAGATGATTTGTGCTGAGGTACAAAAGATCTTTAAATTCTGGTTACAGAACTATTTTTAAGTGTACACTAATTTACTTCTCAAATACATTACGTTTCTTTATCTTCCACAGGCTTAGAAATCAGGAAATTGTGTCTCAGAACTGGATGACTTGTCTTTTTCTTGCTTGATTCTTCTGAACTATTTCCATAGAAACTTTGGCTTCGTACAATGGGATCGGCTCATCCAGCTGAGGCCTAAAATGGAACAGTATGTCAGAAACATCTGGTGAACATGCTCAGATCAATAGAGATATTGCAGGACTACTGCTATAGACTTTACTTTCACTATGTAAACTTTACTCCTTAAACAAAATAAAGCCCTAAAGCAAACAGGAAACAGAAGTTAATTAAAAGATAACATTCTTACAGGGAGGAGAAAAAAAAAAGTGCTGGCGAGGCTTTTGCTCAACAGCAATACTGTTACCCTGCGTTAAGAGAAAGATCTTCTGTTCCCACCTCATTATGGGAGTCTTCATATCTAGTGAAGCTGTCACTCTTCTCAGAGGAGTATTAGACCCAACGTCTTTTACAGCTAGCACCATTTCTCAATCAGACACACTGCTGAGCAGCCAGATATATGCTCTTCCTCCACCAAAAAAAGAATGTGCTGCCTCTGTTAAATTTTGACATACAGCATCATTGCGGGGTTTACCAAGTTTCCTTGAGTTTAGTCTGCTATATATTACAAACGGAAACAGACCATACACTGCGCCATACAAACTACACAAGGCATCTTTTCCTGAGCATCCCAATATAAATTTGCTGTACAGTGCTGGCAAGAGTTTTCCACTTCTAACGCTAAATTAAAAAACAACCAACCAACCTAATAACAACAACAATAATCATCGTCATCACATCTCTCACCTGAAAATGCTACGTGATAATTTCTCCATTATATCTTCTAAGATGGGTATCTAAGAGGACTGTCAAGGTAATAATGTATCTACAGATAAATCTTTCTGTAATCACGTTTGCTGGCAAGAGCCCTGTATTGACATAAAACCAGCAGGATCAAGGCAAAATGAAAATTAACCTTAATTCCAACGTTTAGATCAGATTTATGCACCTGTTTATATATCAGAAACCTCCTTTCCTGTAATAGTATGCAGAAATGAAAAATAGAAAATGGGATTTTGAAAAACAAAGCAAAAGGGTTAAAATTAACAAATGCAGCCAACGCTAGTGCAACATTAATCCATCAGAATGGCGATTGCCTTTTTTTGTGCAGACTGAAGATGACAGATTCTGGTACCAGTTAACTATCCCTACTATTCATACAGACATCTGAGGTAAAAATGGAAATAAAGTTGGGAACACAGCCATCGCTGTGCATCTGTAATGGATCTTTGAGTTAATGACTAACATTCATGACAGTGCAACAGATGAGGCTGCATTTACCCTTTATACAAAACTCAGAAAATAATGTTCCTTCCTTCATTTTAAGAGCAATCTGGTTTATCTTTGAAGCTCAAGCCATTTTAAGAAGCAATCACCTTGTGATTTCTCCAGATTATATTGATGCCATATGCTCAAGAACTTCACAAGATATATGGGTACCAAAAAAAAAAAAAAAAAAAGCAGATTTTTTTCCTTTCAACTTTTAAAGCCTGTTGTGATAAAACGTGCTGTTGTTATTAAAGAGACCCCAGGAGACAACAGAAGAAATCTCAGTGTTTAGTCAGCTTACTTTGATATAGGGATAACTACTCAGTAAGCATTCAACAAAATTCCAAACTATAAAACGATTCACGATAACCTGCGTCCCATAAATATTTCCTCAGTGTGCCTGACCTTGCCTAATCTACTTTTCAGTTTAGTGGAGGAGGGGAGGGCTTCCTTGCAGCATAGTTAGTCGTTTCACAAATATAATGACTTAATCCTCACCTGCCTCTGCTGTTCCGCTAAACTGCAAAAGTGATTCAGCAGATCTCATAATCTGCAGTGCAGTACAGAACAGGGAGGGTCCTTAAAGCCATAAACAGACAAGCATTCCATTACTCAAAGCGATCCACTGAAAACGGTCATGCTAGTAGAAAGCTCAGAGTCCATCTGCTTAAGACCAAACGTAGGCAATGCAAATGAAGGAGGCATTCCTCTTCCCACACCCGCATCTTTGCTCAGTGAGTTTTACGTAGATAACATTGCAAATAAGGAAAAGGTTATGAAGCCAAAATATTTTAACTTTTACAGTTAAACTGATTAAACTGATTGCACTGAGATTTACAGATGGTGCATCTACTGCCCCAAAGAAGAAAAAAAAAAAAAGCAAAAATGTCATATGCACGATATAAAAACTTAACAGAATCAAATCTTCAATTTATTTGTTTAATCTTGAACCAAAATACTGCATTTTCTCCAGAATGTGTGTCTTCTGTTTCAGCACAGCTTTTAATGAAGCACGTAGAGACATCTGTTTAGAAGTAATGCAGAGATTAGCCTAAAACATGAGTGTATGTTATATTTTAGTTACACTGTATGCTTAGCTGTACTGACCTTTAAGCCTGTGGTTACATGACTGAGTAGAAGAGATTCTATTAGCTGGTTTCTTGGTTATATTTCCATCCACACATACTAGCAGTCAGTATTCAAAATGACCATCAAAAGGATATAGAGATACTTCCCTTGCTGTAGATTGGACAAGTTCCATATCTCATCATTCAGAAAGGAGACTGTGGCTCCTTTAAGAAACAAGGAATGGCTATCTGGAGGATCCAGCTTAAACAAAATGAAGAAAAATGTTACTTAGTTATATTTTCCTGTAAAAAATAAAGGTTAAATGGTTATTTTATATTGATGGTTAAAAATCCAAACCAACCAAAAAACCACCCCTTGCCCATTCTTAGAACTTAGCAAACTTGTAATATTTACAGCTTTAAATCTTGTCAGTTTAATACCCTGAGCCAAACAAAATAGGTCCTCTAAAATTTGTCAGTGTAGCCAAGCTATTAATATAACTTACTATCATCTTAGAGAAGACAGCCCCTAAACTGTCACAAAGGGAAACAAAAACATTTATTATTAAAGCAATATGCTTCCCATTTTCTGGATGTGAAAGTTTTCTTAAGCAAAAACTGATGTTATTTAACAGTGGGGAACGATTCAGCCACGACAGAAGCTCACAGACACATCCATATATATATACACTGTGGTACAAAGTAACTTACTGGCACAGTAGCTTTACCTGAAGATTTTTTTCTGTTGTTATCCAGTGTCCCCCAACACCAAGAAGAGTAATG